TTTCTCCAGAATGTTCTGTTATGATGTTTTATCTGCATATTCTTTAGTCATAATAGAATGCATCTATTTTCTAAATAATATCAACTTTTAGAAGATCAATCCTTCTAAAGGTTAACTAGCAGGGAACATTTTGTAGAACTGTCTTTCTCAGGATATGTCATGCGCAAACCATTCTGTATAAGGCCTTGACTTTCCTAGTGAGTCGGTAAGTGTAAACCTCTGATGCACATACCCCTTGCAGGACTGATTTGACTTGAAGAAGCATGTTATCAAGGCCCTGTAAGAACAGTCTGATCTCTGTGTCAGTTTCACAAAGTAAAACCCACTAAATGCGACGTCACCATGATATCTGGTTGTTCTCCCTCCCGTTACTCTTCTAGAAGAATAAAGGCTGCGCTTACCTCATTTGCATAAGCAGGCAATCTACACCAGTCAGTGTCTTCTAAAGCATTTATGCTAATGACTTTAGCCGTGGAAACTCGACCTTTTCTCATTTCGCTCATTATGATAACCTGTCAGGCATCCCTTGAAAGCTAATACCACACTCCGACTTTCCCTAATATAGGCTCATTGTGAGAGTTAAGTTTACATTTTTCCGTCTTCCTGTTTTGTCTTAATTTTGAGAGATAAAAGTATCCATTGATATCAATCCCTTTTAAAAGTTTTTTTTGTTAATTATTATTATTTATTGGATGTCTTTTTTTCTTTATTTTCTTTATTTATTCTACATCCTGACTGCAGTTTTATCTCTTTTCTCTCAGCCCATTCCTTTTCCTTACCTCTCCTCCACCCCCCACGTCCATCCACTCCTCTGTTCAGAAAAGGGCAGGCTTTTCATGGATATCAACAGAACATGGCACATCAAGTTGTGGTAAGCCTAAGCATATCTCCTTGTATTTGAGCTGGACAAGGCAAACCAGCATGAGGAAGAGGGTCCCAAGAGCCTGCTAAAATCTTCGGGACAGCTCCTTCTCCCACTGTTAGGAGTCCCACAAGTAGACCAAGCTACACAACTGTAACATATATGCAAAGGGCCTAGGTCAGTCCCATGAAGGCTTCCTGGTTGTTGGTTCAGAACCTGTGCGTTTCTATAAGCCAGGTTAGTTATTTCTGTGGGTTTTCTTGTGATGTCCTTCACCCCTCTGGCTCCTACAATCCTGCCTCTCTTTAGCAGGATCCTCTGAGCTTGACCTAATGTTTCACTGCGGGTTTTTGCATCTGTTTCCATCAGCTACTAGACAAAGGCTCTCTGATGACAATTAGGGTAGTCACCAATCAGATCATAGGGCAGGGCCAGTTCAAGCTACATATTCACCATTGCTGGGAATTGTAGCTGTGGTCATCCTTGTAGATCCTTGGAAGTTTCCCTTACACCAGGTTTCTCTCCGGGCAGATCTTTCAGTACCCTCCCTCTCCATTCACTCCCAACACAGTTCCGCAAGTTCTCATCCCCACTCAGGATATCGCTTCTATTTCTGCTTCCTAGGGAGATCCATGTATCTCCCACTTTGGCTATCCTTGGTATCTAGCCTGACTGAGCTATTATGGTTATCTTTTTACTTTACAGCTAATATCCACTTAATGAGTGAGTACAAACCATGTTTGTCTTTCTGACTCTAGTTACCTCAGTCAGGATGATTTTTTCTAGTTCCATCCATTTTCCTTCAAATTTCCTGATGTTAATGTTTTTACCAGCTGAGTAATACCCCATTGTGTAAATGTACCACATTTTCTTTATCCATTCTTCTGTTGAGGGACATCTAGGCTGTTTCCAGTTTCTGGTTATTACAAATAATGCTGCTATGGACATAGTTGAGCAAGTGCCATTGCCAAATTTGTTTTAGGGGATTACTGTTTCCCTGATCCCCAAACCACACAAAGACTCAACAAAGGAATAAACTTACATACCAATTTCCTTCATGAAAATCGATGCAAAAACAAAAAGCCCTCTATAAAATACTTGGAAACGCAATCCAAGAACACATAAAAAAATTATCCACCATTATCAAGTAGGTTTCATCCTGGAGATTCAGGAATGATTCATCACATGAAAATCTGTCAATGCAATCCACCACATAAACAAACTGAAAGAAAGAAGGCATGTAATCAGCTCATTAGATGCTTAAAAAAGTCTTTGACAAAATCCAACACCCCTTCATGATAAAAGTCTTGGAGAGACCAGGGAAACAAGGAACATACCTACACATAACAAAATAATATACAGCAAGCTGACAATCATCATCAGATTAAATAAAGAGAAACTCAAAGCAGTTTTACTAAGATCAGGAACAAGACAAGGTTGTGTATCCTAGTGGCCAGGTGAAACACTCGGAAGCACGCAGCACCATTGGCATGGTGAGCAGTGCAACTATTGTAAGGCAAAGGGGACTTCTGAAGAACAGTTTGGAGGGGTCATTAGCTGAGATGCCAGATGGCACGCCGCTGGTAAATACAGAGCCTAGTTTGATTAGTCAAACTTGGGGTTTTATGGTTGAGCTGTTTTTCAGCTAAACAGAAAAAAAGCTTATGAAATTGCTGTTTAAGTAAGCCCATTCCCGCACCCAGAAATGAGAAGAAATTGCATTAGCAGATTCTTAAATTGTAGGAAACACCCACACTCCTTTCCATGGAAACACACGCTGAAGGCTCTACCACATATCTTTCCCAGCGAGGCAATCATTTCTGGTTTGGGATTATATTTGAACATATATATTTGAATGTGATCTCAATTCAGGAATTTGCTTTACCAAAAAAGAAAGTCACAAAAAATGTTAGCTCACTGAAAAGAAAACAAATTTATGTTTCCTACTTTGTCTATGCTGCCCACCTCAGCACGGCTCCCTGCTGCTCATAGCAAAGTGGTAGCCATTAAAGATTTGTTTTCTTTATTTCCCCAACTTTTCCATGATGTAGGGATACTACATACTTTGGCATGTACTTTATCTTCAATGAAAACCTTTAAGTAAATAGAGTGGGGAACCTGTCATGATATTTTGCAGGCATGACTTAGCTGATGGCTTAGACGCTCTATCCAATGCCTGCCTGTGCATCAGGCATTTCATCTTTGACAGATAATAGACAGGTGTGGTGATTTTTTCATTCCTCACTTCCCTTTGCTTTGTATAACATTTTTGAAAAGTGGGCAAAGACTGAAATCTGAAAGAGCAAAACTGTTAAGTAATTTTCTTAGATACCAGGGCAGTGTTTTTCTGGCATGTGAGCAAGAACAGATTGGAATAGAAAGATCAATAACTATGGCTACATGAAAATTATAAGCTTGTGTCTGACAACAGTGACTGCACACTATGTTAAAAGATAACCACAAGATCTACAGCTCTCTTAAGTAAATTCTTGTGCATTGGGAAGAAAATAGCTTCATAGGTGGCTTAGTTAAGGTTTTTATTGCTGTGAAGAAACTCTAAGACCACAATAACTCTTTTCCTTCCTTCCTTCCTTCCTTCCTTCCTTCCTTCCTTCCTTCCTTCCTTCCTTCCTTCCTTCCTTCCTTTTTTAGTTTTTTAAGACGGAGTTTTTCTGTGTAGCCCTGGCTGTTCTGGAACTCACTCTGTAGATCAGGCTGGCCTCGAATTCACAAATATACAACTGCCTCTGCCTCCTGAGTGCTGTGATTAAAGGCGTGTACCACCAACGCCCACACGGCAACTCTTTTAAAGAAAACATTTAATTGGGGTGGCTCATTTACAGTTTTAGTGGTTCAGTTCATTATCATCACAACAGAGACTATAGTGTCAGGTAGGCTGACATGGTGCTGGTTAAGTAGTTGAGAGTACTATATCTTTTTTTATTGAGCTCTACATTTTTCTCTGCTCCCCTCCCTCTTCAACCCTCCCCCAAGGTCCCCATGCTCCCAATTTACTCAGGAGATCTCTTTTTCTAATTCCCATGTAGATTAGATCTATGTAAGTCTCTCTTAGTGTCTTCATTATTGTCTAAATTCTCTGGGGTTGTGGTTTGTAGGCTGGCTTTCTTTGCTTTATGTTTAAAACCCACCTATGAGTGAGTACATGTGATAATTGTCTTTCTGTGTCTGGGTTACTCACTCAAAATAATGTTTTCTAGCTCCATCCATTTTCTTGCAAAATTCAAGATGTTATTTTTTTCTGCTGTGTAGTACTCCATTGTGTAAATGTACCACATTTTCCTTATCCATTCTTCGGTCGAGGGGCATTTATGTTGTTTCCAGGTTCTGACTATGACAAACAAAGCTGCTATGAACATAGTTGAGCACAGGTCCTTGTGGCATGGTTGAGCATCCTTTAGCTATATATACCCAAAAGTGGTATTACTGGGTCTTGAGGAAGGTTGTTTCCTAATTTTCTGAGAAAAGGCTACACTGACATCCAAAAGGATTGTACTTGCTTGCATTCCCACCAGGAATGTATATAAGTTTACCCCACAACTTCTCCAGCATAAGTTGTCATCAGTATTTTTGATCTTGGATGTTCTTATAGGTGTAAGATGGAAGTCTCAGAGTTTGCATTTCTCTGATGATTAAGGATGTTGAGCGTTTCCTTAAGTGTCTTTCAACCAATTTAGATTCCTCTGTTGAGAGTTGTGGAGATTTGGAGACTGTGATATAAGGTGCAGGGATTGTGTCACCCGCACCAGGGGAGGTGTTGAGTACTGCCTTGGAATCTAAGAGAAGTTTCATGGAATGCTATGGAACATTTCAGAGTGACAAGTCCTCTGGCCTTGCTTCTAAGTTGCAAGTTTCACATACCCTGTGGTTTGCGGAAGTGGCTGCCCTGAGGCACAGTCTCAGCTTGAACCAGCTGTTCTGCTCACTGAAGGAAGTCTTAGATTAGATCGGAACAGTTAGATCACGTCTCTGGAGACCCTTGTTTAAAATAGGCCAGGATGTCTTGCAAGCCCCCAGACCACCCTTGCTACGTTAAGCTGTTTTGTATGCATAATCTAAATAAGTCCTTGGTTAACTCATGATCTCTAGTTCCTCTTTTAGATAACACCGTTGACTGAAGCAATTGTTTCCAAAGTGTTTAAAAGAATTGCTTAATAAATGTGCAGAGTGCAGTTGCAAGTGCTGTTTTTGCTCTGCATCCCCCTGTGTCCTGATTTGTTCGAGACTTTCCCAGGGACCCCGACGCACTAGATGTCAACAGAGAGTTCTCTGTTTAGGTCTGTATTCCATTTTTTTTTATTGAATTATGTGTTCTTTTGATGATGAATTTCTTGAGTTCTTAGTATATTTTGGAGATCAGATCTCTGTCTGATGTGGGGTTGATGAAGATTTTTCCCATTGTATAGGCTATTGTTTTGTCTTGTTGGCCGTGTCCTTTGCTTTACAGAAGTTTTTCAGTTTCAGGAGGTCCCGTTTATCAATTGTTTCTCTCAGTGTCTGTGCTGCTGGGATTATATTTAGGAAGTGGTCTCCTGTGCCAATGTATTCAAGTGTTCTTACCACTTTCTCTTCTATAAGGTTCAGTGTGGCTGGCTTTATGTTAAGGTCTTTGATCCATAATAAAGGCAACATACAGCAAGCCAACAGCCAACATCAAACTAAATGGAGAGAAACTCCCAGCGATTCCACTGAAATCAGGAACAAGACAAGGTTGTCCACTCTCTCCATATCTATTCAATATAGTTCTTGAGGTCCTAGCTAGAGCAATAAGACACCAAAAGGAAATCAAGGGGATATAAATCAGAAAAGAAGAAGTCAAATTCTCACTGTTTGCTGATGATATGATAGTTTACATAAGCCATCCCAAAAGTTCTACCAAGGAACTTATACAATTCATAAACACTTTCAGTAATGTAGCAGGATACAAGATTAACTCAAAAAAAAAAATCAGTAGCCTTCTTGTACACAGATGATAAAAGGGCTGGGAAAGAAATCAGAGAAACAACAGCCTTCACAATAGCTACAAATAGCATAAAATATCTTGGAGTAACCCTAACCAAACAAGTATGATAAGAACTTTAAATCTTTAAAGAAAGAAATTGAAGAAGACACCAGAAAGTGGAAAGACCTCCCATGCTCATGGGTAGGCAGAATTAACAGTAAAAATGGCAATCATACCAAAAACAATCTAAAGATTCAATGCAATGCATATCAAAATCCCAGCAAAATTCTTCAGACCTTGAAAGAACAGTACTCAACTTCATATGGAAAAGCAAAAAACCCCAGGATAGCCAAAACGATCCTGTACAATAAAAGAATTGTGAAGACATCACAATCTCTGACTTCAAACTCTCCTACAGAGCTACAGTACTGAAAACAGCCTGGTCTTGGCATAAGAACAGACAGGAGGACCAATGGAACCAAATAGAAGATCCAGATATTAATCCACACTCCTTCGAACACCTGATTTTTGACAAAGAAGCAAAAAAATACCAAATGGAAAAAAGAAATCATATTTAACAAATGGTGCTGGCATAACTGGATATCAACATATACAAGAATGAAAATAGACCCATATCTATCATCATGCACAAAATTCAAGTCCAAATAGAGAGTCCTACATTTTATAGGCATCAGGAAATCGACTAAGACACTAGGCAGTATCCCGAGCATAGGAAACCTCAAAGCCTGCCCCCACAGTGACACACTTCCTCCAACAAGGCCATACCCATTCCAACAAATTTTAATCTTAGATAGAAGTCTAGTATCTTCTTACAGACAATTCATTTGAGTATTAAAGGAATATTTAGATAATTAATGAGGACGATATTTTACCAATGGCATATTGGAAATATTCATTGGTTATATTTACCTTATGGACACAAGCTATATACTATGCCGTGTTCTGAATTATTTACCATACTACACTGGTGAATTCTAACACTAGCTTTTTAAAGTGAACCTTTACTCATAAGCAACATGAAACTATCAGAACTATCAAATATATTTAATGTTATCATCTATAAATATCGATTTCAAGGTAAATTTATATTTTGAAAATCACCCAAGTAGTTTTTCACACTTTTATGTAGTTCTGAATACTTTTAAACATACAAGAATTCAATATTGTTTTGTCTTAAAGAATTCATTCATAGTATCATTTTAGGCAAGAGTCTTTGATAACTTCTTTAATTTTCCCTTGTTTACTTTTACTAGTTACTTTGTTCTTTCTTCAGTTAATATTTCATGTGTGTATTTTTCATAAGAAGTATTCCTTCTGCTATCAAATGTGTTCATATGCATCTCTAGTATCTCTCTCCAGCTAAACTCTATTTCCCTAGTTAGGATTATCCCTTCACTTCTTAGATTTTCCAGAAATGTGTCTATTTTTTTTTCTAAAGACCCTGGTTTGAAATCCCTCCTCTCTCCTGTGGTCTCTAATATTTCCTCTAGTCACTCTCTCCATGCTCCATATGAACCACTCTGAATCAACTCTTGAAGTTCGGTAGAGGTAGTTAGTCCCTGTAGGAAGATCATATGGGCTAAAAACCTTAATATGTGGTGTTTAGTTTTTATTATGTTTAAAACAACCATTCAAATTTTAAAAGTATTTCCTTTTGTGTGTGAGTATATGATCGTATACATACATAATCTATCTAAGATTAAATCTTGTCTCAGAACTTTTGGAAAAGGCTCAAAGTTAACAAAATAGTTCATATGTATTAAACTAAAACAAATAGTCACTATTACTTGCAAATGTATATAAAAATTTATATATAAAATCATTTGAACAATCAGCCTCGGGGTAAGGGAGATAGCTAAGTTGATAAGATCCATCCCCCAGAAGCCATGTTTAAAAACAGGAATCAAACAACAGCAACAAAGCTAGGTATAATGTCACATGCTTGTCATCCCAGCACTGAAGAGGCAGAAACAAGTGATGGATCCCTGGGTCTCACTGGCCAGCCTAGCCTAACAGGCAAGCCCCAGGTCATAGTAAGAAGAGACTGTTTAAAAAGTAAGGTTGACGACACCTTAGAAACAACCACTGTGTTCTCCTCTGACCTCCACATGCACACACTTAAACACACACACACATACACACACACACACACACACACACACCACTCAGCCTTCTTCTCCTTATGTTTTGATACAGTCTTTATCTGTGTCTGTGTCTTTTCTGATCTCTGAAACTCTGTGTAGTTACTATAGTCATGCACTTTTTAAACATGTTGAAGTAACTTGAACAACTCCCACATCACTTAGAAAGCCATAGATCTAGGGTGTAAGCTACCAAACCAGATGCCAGGACACCTCCACTTAAGGGTTTCTATACACTCCCATGTTTAGTCTAGTCACAAAGCATATTCTGGAAGTTTGCTGATTAGCTTCTGTGATCTGTTCCACTACTTACAAAAGACTAACTTGTATCAACAAGAATAGAAACAACAGGCCTTTGCCTATAAAACTGTCTAATACCAGACCTCCAACATGGCTTAGCAGATAAAAGCACTGAGTTTGATCCCTAGGCTCCCCACGCAGGAGAGAACTAACTCCTGAAAGTTATCCTGTGACTTCTACTGGTGTGCCATGTGTGTATGCCCTCACTCACACCCACACACACTAGATAAGCGATCAAACACTAACAAAGATGGGCTGGTACCTGTACAGAATCTGAGAAGGGCCTGTCAGAATGCTTAGTTCATCCTATTTTAGAGCAGGTTTCTCCTTCGTCTGCTTTCTGAAAAAAATGAGATGAATCATAAAGCTGGTGCCCACGGACTGCACACTTGTGAATCCGTGGCCACTTATATTTGCAGAGGAATGGATGGTTGTGGATTTGTGATAAGCCTATTTTAAATCATATTTCTAAATTTTTGAGTTTTTATGACGTTGGCTGAAAACAGATTTACATTTGATTTTAAATGAATTCAGAAAGCTGAGCTTCTTGCAGAGTAATATACAAGATGTATGTTTTCTGCATTTCCTATGTTTATTTACCTTGTGTTTATATAGCATATAGTCTTTTAGAAATTAGATATTAAATTATGGAGTAAAATGCTCTGTCAATTAATCTTACAATTCTACATACAATACTAAGATATAACTCAGTGAAGGAAATTTAAATTTCTCATATCTTTTCCGTATCATCAGGACATATGAAGAAGCAAAAGAAATCATTTTAAAAAGAAACACAGAAATCTCATACTTTCTTTTGAAACATTTTCTATCTACAACTTAAACTTTTCCCTGCAACTCATAAGAGTGAATATTGATCTCTATGGGTCTTACAGGTATGCATTTATTTATCTTGTCATAATTGGGTTATATTTTGAAATTTTCTTCTGTTCATGATGGTCTATAATAACAGAGTGATTAAAAATGAGTGAGAAATGGTGTTGAAAGGGCACAAGATTACAGCTTGAAGGTGAATCACTGAAAAAGATGACAAAAATATTTCTCCAAAAGAAATATATGTGTATGTACCACCTCATGTTGTATAAATCATGATTTAAAACCAAGTTGAAATGAGTTTCTGAAGGCAAAATGCAGTGAAAACTTTAGCACATTTAGAAATCCCCCCTCCTTATGACAGTTATTTCCTAGTTAAATATGGCTGTACTATTAATGATTCCTATCAGTGTGTTTCCACACACAAGGCATTGACATTTACTTGAAAATGTTGATATTTTCCAAGTACTGTCTAAGGGGAGTCACTGTGGACTGAGTATGCCATACATCTGAGTTTTATAGCAGAGTCTGATATTCCCAAATGACCTTATTAGAGCCATGCTGAACGGAGAAATAAGACACAAATCAGCCACACCCTACAACTTGTATTGAGATGATCACTGAAATTACAAGCAACACATAATCAATGGATCTCTAAGGAAAGTCAACTAGTAGCCCCAAAATATCAGGAGTTCAGGGAGTCAACAAGTCGTCCCAAAATATCAGAGGTACCTGATTTAATGATTTAAAGATTTAATGGAATCTTCATCATTGCATCTAGATAGAATTCCAACAGACACTCCCCAGTGCTCCAAACAGTCACAGAGAAAGACTTTAAATTATGGGTATATTTTTAATTGCTAGAAAAGATCTAAATTTTTGTTCAGTTTAGGCTTTTGTTTCTCATGCTGCTAAGCGATCAACAATTTCAAGTTTCTAATCCAAGTTATAACATAATTTGATTCCTTTCCCGGATACATACCCTAAGAATTTGGTTAAAAATATGTATCAAATGAAGGTAGGAATACTTTCCAATCACAGC